GACTCAAATACAAGCCTGAGTCATCAACTGCATTCCAGAGCTTGTGTTCTAAAGAAAGGGAGGAGTGCATTCTACCATGCTTTGGGGAAGGCTGTATCCCATTTTCAGAGCTGTAGATGTGGCACATTTCTCAGTCAGCACCAGACACATTGTGCAATATCAGTGTTCTTAGTGACACACTGCAGTGTCTGCACTCCTGATGGTAGTGTCTGTGATGAGCTCTGCTGTTTGATTTGGCTCTGGATTATGATTTGTTTCCAGGTGCTGCCACCTTCAAATCTTGATTCTCTGATGCTTAGAGAAACTTCAAATCCTAGTAACTGTTGTTTACAAGGAAAAACCCTCAGCAGTCTATCATGGGCACTCCTGTTTTAAGAGGGAGTTTTGGCTTTAAGGGTGTTTTTTGTCTTTTTTACTTTTGTTTTTCCTTTTAAGGATGAATGGAATGAGGAAGAAGTTGTCTGGAGGAGTTCAGGTCCAAATTCATACAGCCAAGAAAACCTACTCTTCCTGACAGGTCCAGTGTGTGTTAGACCTTTCTTCCTTGTTCTTTTAAGAACAGCTATTTCCCCCTCTTGGACCCCTTTCTGCCATAGTTACTACCAGGCACATCATAATTACTGGAATTTCAAATCTCCAATAGTATAGAAAGACTGGGTTTTTTGTTTGTCTGTGTGTGTGTGTGAGAGAGAGAGAGAGAGAGAAAGAGAGAGAATTTGTAGCTGATCCCCCTCCTACCAAGTAACCAGAGACTGACATTTCATCCTATTAGAGCCATCAATGGCCACGAAGAACCTACTAAATATAATCATGACCCTGAGATCTACAGCTGATTCAGAAGTATCTTTTGATTATTGTCATTCCTTCCTTTCACTCTCTAAGGGGGCCCTTTGCTCGAGACTATTGGTAAAGAGGGGAGCACAACTGTGGCGGCTATTGGTTGTCAACATGACTATATCAATCTAACTAAAACCAAAAAATAGAGGACACACCTGTAAGTGACATCTACTTAATTTGAAGATGATCTATTTCTAGTCTGAACCTTTGAGGGGGGAATCACACCTTTAATATGGATGTTTAATCCAAATATCTAGACCATGCCTTCTGTTCAAAGCCTATATAAGGACATGGAAGAAGGAAACTTTTCCTCTTTGCCTGCTTGTCTTGCTAGCACATCCTGTTCTTCACTGGCATTACAGCCTACTTCTTTAGGATTCTAGCATGTACTAAGGACCAGTTGAGACATTCAGCAATGTGGATTGAGCAACCACTTGATTCTTGAACTTTCCATTCATAGCCAGGCATTGTTATATAGGCTGAATGACAGCCTGGAAGTCATTTTAATAAATCCCCTTTATATACAGAGAGATTCATTTTATACCTTTCGTTACTCTGGAGAGCCTGACTGGTACACCAGGCATGTAGAGGAGACCTTCTAGAGCAGTTTGTTCTCAGCTATGTTAGAAATGCCAGTGGCCGTCTTCCCTTAACCTGTGCTTCAAGTGATGCTTTGGTGTTGGCCTTCTTGGTTCCTATAACATCTCAGCAATGAAAGTCCCAAATCTCTCAAATGGAACCCACAGTAACATAATTAAAAGAGTGTATCAAAATGGAGAGATTTCAGGGTAAGTAAGGATTGGGAAGCCAGATGTCTTAGGTTTTGTGCTTCATATCTGGTCATTTCCTACCCACATGAAATCACAGGACAATTTGTCAGAGATTTTTTCTCTCCTTCACCCGTGTGAGTACCAGGGAAGGAACTCAGGCCTGCTGGCCTGACAGCAGATACCTTTACTCTCTGAGCCATCTCTCTGGCTGATCATCTCATGTATGGAATTGAATAAGCTTTGTATCTATGTTGATGTTCTTTGTGCATATATGTCCTTTATTCATACAGAGTAGATTCTGTTCTCCCTGTTTTGACAGTACCAGGTGGGGACCCACACAATTAATCCCCACACACATTACCTCTCTTACTCAGTGCTAGGCTCAGAAGTCAGATCCAGTCCATAGGAGCTTCACAAGAATGAAGCAGTCATCTGGAACATACCCTTCCCCAGAATACTCTTGAGATCTACTGTGGTAAAAAACCAGCATCAACCATCCCACCCCCTAGACTTACACATACAAGCTCGCCATCAGAGACATGCAGATTTTATGCAGCCTCCATCCACTCTGGCTAGTCTGAAGCTTCTTCCCAATCACCAAGGAATCCTAAACACACCTCCACCACCAGGAGGGTCTTCTCACTCTGGATTTCATCAGAAGGCCTTAATCTGCACTGTCATCCAGGATGAGATCTGAGAGGTTTGCTGTAACCTTGACAGTCAGTGATACTGGAGTAGGATGTTGAACCCATTATGGTTGAACCCAAAACCTCTATGGACACTTGGCATCCTAAGACAATTAGCCTACCTATATCATGTATTTATCCCTTGGCCTCATAAAATTGCTCTCATTGGTTGATCATGACTTGGTCCAACAAACACAGCACACATGATTAGTTGGACAAAACTCATGGAGATGATGGCTCCTCCTTTTGAATGTTTGTTTTTCTCCCAAAAGACCAGCAGAGCAGCTAAAAGCCTCTTTTACTCCAGGTTCAGGTGAAATCTGATGCTCTCTTCTGGCCTTTCTTTGATTTATATGCATGTAGTGTATAGGCCTTAAGCATGCAAAACACCCATACATATAACTACAAGAAACGAATCTTTTGAAAATGCACAAACAAGTATTTAAGGCTAATCACACACAAAAAAAATAAACAATGCCTAAATTATCTTGGAATTCATTCTGTCTGCTGTGTTGTTATCACTGATGGTATATTTCAAGGAAAGCAGAGACAGGTAGTTCTGGTTTTCCTAATTTCCTAATTTGTTGATTCTCTGTTGGTTTCACATCATCATGCATCCCAATCCCACTCTTCCCCCTACTCGTTCCATTGTATCTGCTCTCTGCCCTTCTTACCTCTCCAGTAAACAAAACAAAATTTAATAGAAAAGCCAAATCAAAAATCAAAAAGAAACAAAAGTCTTGGCAAGGAATCTGTACTGTGTTCCAGTGAGTCACACAGCATACACTTTAGTCTATACATCTTTTCTTGTAAACGTTCCAGGCCTCTGGCTTCTATTACATTATCAATAACTGACACTCATTGGGACTCCTCTTGGATATCCAATTGATGCCTTGTGTCATGAAGATCCTGAAGCTTTGGGTTTGCAGATCCCAGCTCTTCACAGGCTCCAGCAGTTCAGAGATGAAGATGTTAGGGAGGGATGACTCATAGTCCTGGTTCGGGGCCTGAGTGGAAGCTGGATGAGTTAGTCTGCCATATTTCCCTCGTCTCCACCACTGGGGTGAGCTTTCCAGCACTGCACTAGTTAGCTCACCCAATGCATCAAGTAGAAGGAGGGGCCAATTCTGCTGATCTCAAACTCTCACATCTGGCTCATACACACTCAGACCACATAGGGCCAGCTCTACTGTCTTGCCCAGTTGAGTTGCCAGGAGCACTCTCCCAATTGCTGCAGTTGTTGAGATCTTCCTAGTTCTACAGCCAGTGAAGGGTGAGCTTAACTCTGTGCATCCCCATCCTGTCTTCAGTGGTAACAGGAGCCACTGACATCAACACAGACAGAGGCTCTGACAGTGCAATAGATCCAGACATGACCTTTGACTGCAGCCTAGGCCCAGAGGACACTATGGCCCCTGTCAGCAACATAGACCACTAAGATCTGTATTGTCTCATCAGAAGCACATCTGTTGGAGACTAACATGGTACTACATGGTGGCCCAAATCTCTATTTATGTGTGTTTCCTGGTTGGCAACACAGGTCATGGACATTTGCTACATGGACCCAGACATGGTCCTAGACCATGGATATCACCATGACCCTGGTTAGGAATGTATGTCACTGAGATCAGCAAGGAAGCAACAGCATGCTCCAGGAGGGTCTAGGTGTGACCCCGATTACAGGTATCTGCAATGTCTGATGGTGCATCAGTGCAGACCCTGGCTTCACTGCTGGTCCTTGGATCCAGACTTAGTTCTTGGCAACAGTCCTGACTCAGATATCGCTATGGTCCTGGGTAGCAGCACAGCACTCTTAAGACACATGCCTCAGTGGGAACATATCCCTGATGTGGGAGGTGCTTCTGTGTGTTGCAAATATGTGTTGCTTTTCTTGGTTAATGAATAAAGCGGTTTTAGTCAATTGACAGGCAGGATTTAGCAAGGTGGGAATTCCAAAGAAAGAGGCATGGAAAAGAAAGACAAAGAACAGACACTATGTAGAGACCAAAAAGGTGGGTTACGTGGTCATTCTCTGGTATGACAAGGCCACGTGGAGATGCACAGATTAATAGTTAAGATATTGGTCTTAAGAATGAAATCTCTTTGTCTGGAACAACTTAACATCAGCAGAGTCTTCCATGACAGATTTCCCATCACATAGGGAAGGCTAAGGACTCTGTCAGCTTGCCAAAGCCATCAACATTGAACTGACAGAAAAAAAAACTTAGTCACCAGTACCCCTACCCTCCATGGTGTGGTACACCTCACGGGGACCTCCTGCTGTTGAATGTCAGAGTTCTCAGCAATTCTTGTCTCAGGTTTAGTGTATCTCAACTTGTTTTAGATGCTTTATTTTCTTCAGGAGAACTGAGTCAACAGACACTTGGATCTGATTAGGGGTGGACCACCTAGAGGTGACTTGGTATTTGACACATTGATGAATTCACAGCTACAAGGGGTGTCTTCTGAGGAGGAGGCCTTGATCCTAGGGTGGAGAACTCTGCGTGATGAAGATGTCTGTTGCTTCTTTGTCTCCTCAGTTTTCCCTCAAGAGATGCTATCAGGGAAGGAAAGGCAGTCAGACCCAGAGCAGCCTGGCCGGGCCACAGGCTACACAAAATCAGGGCTTAGAGCAATCCTGACCAAAGAAATTTGTCTTAAGAGTTAAGAATTGACAGTCTCTTTTTTATTACTAAAAATGGTCATTTTATTGAATAGAGGATTAAACAGAGCACAATATAAACAGTAAATAGCCTTAGCAAAATAGCAAAACAAGAACAAAAGAGCTAATGAATTCAAAGCCTCAAAGCATAACAAAGAAAATGAAAAATCATCAAGTAAGCAAAACCCAACAAAAAATTAAGCTGAACAGATTGCTTAATTAAAAAACTAACTTAATCTTTCTACATATTTTATAGCACAGATCTATAGCTGTGGCTGGCCTTGGAAACATGGCTGGATTGCAGTCGCTAATTGTAAAAAATCTTTTCAAAGTTAGTATAGCCATGTCTCCTTGGAGATTTGCAGGGTGTCTTCTGAGGAGGAGGCCTTGATGGACAATGCCATGAGTCTAAGTTGTTGGTGGCTTCTTTGACCTCTCAGTTCTCTCTGGAGCTGTGTGAGAAGGAAAGGCAATCAGTCCCAGAAGCATCCTGGTTGGGGCATAGACTAGACAAAACCAGGGGCCATTCACACAGAGGAAGACAAAGTCAAGAGTCTCCACCCGCCATGAATGCCATGGTTGCAGGGGTCAGGAGGCAAAAGTGGCTCCCTTGCCTGTGACACTTAGTGCTCCTGCTGCAGCAGCTCTGTCCGCCGGAGGCTGTCTTCCTGGGCTGTGACATGTTCCAGCTTGGATTGGAGATTTTCTGAACTAGAGGAAGGAGGCAGTTAGGGACAGGCCTGGTGGGGACTTGCATTGTCAGCTATTGAGTCTGAACCAGCTCTGTCCAGCTGGACAGTAGAGCATGACCTTTCTTTCAGCTGAGGGCTTTTCCTGAATTCCCCCAGGGAGAAGGGTCAGAGTGCACCTGGGCCTGAATTTTTTTTCTCAGCTTTTAAAAACTGCTGGAAGTTGAACTGAGAAGTACACTGCTGGACACGAGAAGAACAGCACATTTCTCCAGTTGTCCAGATAGACTACTTTGAAAAAAATAACACTGTAGCATGTCTGAAACAATTCAGGACAGACATGCATGACCAGGTGAATGTGAGCAACCTGGAAAACTGAATGTAGATCCTCTAGGGGAGCCTACACAACACTACAGTTTAGAGTCTGATTGTTCCTACAGCACAGAAACCTGCCTGGGTTCAAATCCTCAACCACTAAATCTTCTTATGACCAGAAAAATGTTTTCACAGGAAACAGGTGCACACTGCAGAGAGCCTGTAATCAGCAAGAGAGAGCTGCATGCAGATCTGCACAAAGGTAGGGACTTCTCTCTAATGTAATATTCAGTAAGTAAAGTAAAGTGACAGGAGCACATACTGTCCTCCACAATTAATGCTCCCCCTGAGAGGTTTAGGACTACATATGAAGATTTGTGGGGAGACACAGCTGGAAATGTGCTAAGAAAATACCAGACAGCTCAGAAGGGAATAAGGAGCACACAATCCCCAGAAACTCTAAGAGTTTCCTTGTGAAGTTCTTGTTGACTAGGCCAGCACAATACCCTGAGGTGTTCTTTCCCAGGCTGTGGCTGAGAGCCTTCCAGATAGCAAGAATCCCCAAAAGGACTGAATCCAGGTACCGGGGCACACATGGTTTTAACTGTTCCTCCCAGCTTGGCTCCTACCTCATCTCAGAGATGTTGACTTGATCCTGCAACTTTTCTGCCAAGTCCCTTTGCTGGGTGAGCATCTCCTTCTGCTTCAGCAGGCTCTTCAGTCTTTCATCCATGTTGACTTCCTCCTGTTCATTATAAGACTGTGCTCTCAGTGGAGGGTTGCACACCCATAAACTCATAAGGAAATGTATGCACACACACAAGCACGTTGTAATGCAGTAACATGTTTAGGATTCCAGTTAATGCTTATATAAGGAGCACTCACTAGGGATACAACTGGAAGATTAACTTTAGTTGGATGATATGAGAACACAGTGGCCATGAGACAGCTCAGTCATTGAAGTGGCTATTGTGGACATTTAATGCACAGACAGGTGGACCTCTGTTGTCCTGTCCTGTTAGCCAACCACATTTAGGAAGTTCCCCAGGCTGTGCAGTGTAGGACCACTGGGTGGTAGTCACCAGATCACTGGTATTGTTCACTGCTTCCAAAGTGAACAATTTCCTCCATAAGGAGCTCCCTTTACCTCAGGTTGCCTCACTTTGGGCCCAAAGTGCAGGAAACTAGAAAATCTCCACAATCAGGATCCAAAAGAAGCAATTCCTCCCTGAAAGGTTGTTTGAATAACAAGTGGCTGACTAAGTCAGGACAAATGACTGCACCTATTAATGCTGAACAACATTCCATAGAAAGGTTCAACCACACTTTACTTTTTCACTCATCGATGATAGACATCTGCAGTGTTTCTACTTCAAGACTACTTTGAGGAATGCTGATACAACCATGATATCCCCTGGCTTCTCTGTGGACACCTACTTCATGTTCTGGAATCACTGAGCCACCTGGGGATTTCAGTTCAACTTTCTGAAGACTCTCATGTGGCTTCTCACTGTATTGTACCATTTAATACCACCAGCAACGTCTGAGGTCCTCATTTCTCCCAACCCTCCATGAGGCTGATTTTAACTCAGAGTAAACATCTTTGAAGAAAAGCAGCTACAGAGTGCTGCAGACACAGCACATGGTGAGTGTTTTAGACCATCATGAGCATCAGTAGGATGCACTGAGACAGCCCCATTCTCACACCACAGCATGGCTGGGGGACTCCTGCTGTACTGCGGTGCAGCTGGGAGCACATTGCAAGTCAGAATCTCTTAAGGAATGAAATCCTGGATTTGTCACATTGGCCTCCTCCTAAATTTCATGTACCATACTTTGGTTTGCTCCAAGAATTTCCTTGGATATTAATATTTTTGTCTACAAAATACCTGAAAACCATGAGTTACAGCAGTTTTTCTCTCCTTTGTACTGGGGAACTAGATTGACATGCCTATAGATGACTAGCAGCATACAATATTTGTTTGATTCAAAGTATGTGGGCACAGTACTTACTCAGTGTATTGGTCTCCATCATCATTAAAGTTGTTCCCAGAGTAAGTGAACATACAAATGTCCAGAAATACACACAGGATTTTACAAATACACACACACACACATATCCAGGAAACATGGGCACACACACCTCCCCCACCAAACTCCCCCACATGTGGTCACATACACATACACAAAAGATCAATACTGCGCAGGCAATAGCCAGCTTTCACACTCACACACACCCCCAGAGGGGTTCACACATACATACACGCACAGATGCACAGAAATGCACATCACAGCACACACACACTATTGAACCTAGAATGTCCAGGGAGAGGACTGCTGCAGGGGAGTAGTGGGTTCTCTCTGCTTCCTACAAGGCTCTTAGCCTCAGGCAGGCTCTGCTACCCTGGCTGCACTTACTTTTCCTTCTGTGAACTTTATCCCTCCTGGCACTCACTGATCTCACAGGTTCCAGGTTAGCCCATCATAGTCTCTTCACTAAACCACCACAGAAGGCCTTGGCAGCTCAAGGGAAGGAAAGTTACCCATGGTCAACACTCAGGAAGGTTTCAATTGGTTACACTGCAGATAATATGAATTCATCCCTAATGTCATTCAGAAGGAGCTCGGTGATGTCAGCTACAGTGCTTTTTTGGAATGCAGTACTATGCAAAACTATGAGAAGGAATCTGTCCAAAGGCACAGCCATGCACAAGACATAATCAGCAACACAAAGTCAGCAAGGAGATGCACCGTGGATTTCATGTTGTGAGGCAAAGAGAAAAGCCAGGCATTTGTTGTGGTGTTCCCTCTGTGAAGTGAAAGGAAAGAAGTCTACTTTTCATTTTTAAAATATCTGTATTGTTTGATGACTTTTGTTATTTATTAAAAATGCATTAATATCAAACAATAAAAATAAATAAATGACAGAGAACCTACTACATCCTTCCTCTCTTTCTGAGGAAACAACACAGAAGATACACCTAGGAGGACAGGAGACCCAAAGAGTGTTGGGCATCCAGAAAGACAAGACAGAAATTTTCAGATTCTCTGAAAGACCTGAGCTTAGGGGAATACAGGAGTGAAGAAGACAGGACATCACCGGATTTCATTATGTGGCCTGCAGACATACCCACCATTGTACTCTTTTACACATGGCTGCACTGGTCACACACAGACCACAGAAATCAGAAGTGAGCAGAAAAAAGGGAAGAAGACTTTATGGTGAGTGAGCAGTTGTCAAAGTCCTCCCACATCTATGGTCATCCAGTCAGCTCCAGACTGGAAGCTCCAGAATGGGAGAAATGGCCACCAAGGTCACAGAAAAGGGCTGACAAGGTGTCAGTCAACCTTCTGTCAGTGTGAAGCACAAGGTTGGCAAAAGAAAGAGAACATTCTGGGTGGTGGAGCACAGGTCTTTAATCCCAGCACTTGGTAGGCAGAAACAGGGATCTCTATGAGTTCCAAGCCAGCCTAGTCTACAGAGTGAGTTCCAGGACAGTCTTCAAAGCTACAGAAAAACCCTGTCTCGAAAAAAAAAACAAAAATGGGAAGAGAACACAATGAGATGCCGGAAAAAAGGACCACATGGCACCCAGAAATTTGACATATAGAATCACACTCTTAGCATTGGCACTGGGCTCTCATGCTTGAGAGCTCTCTGCCAATCATCCAGTTTCTTAACAGAGGATAACTCTCCAGAGAAACTTGTGAATAATCACATAAATGATGAATGAGATGGTATGTTTGTGGGAGTCTGGATGGATGGGTAGATGGTTACATGGGTGTCTCTGGGTTTATACTTGACAGGTGGGCAGCCCTCCCCTGAAGTTCAGCCTACCTGATGCTGCTCAGCACAGGGGTCACAGATCTTCTTATGGATCTCCTTAAAGAGCCTCTTCACCTCCTCACAGGACTCTTGCAGTTCTATCTGCTCCTTCCACAGCAATCTGTTCTTCAGTCTTGTCACATGTACATTTTTCTTCAGCTGAATCCATTCTCTCAGGACCTGGCCATGGCAGTAACTGAATCACAAACAAAAAAAATGATGAGTTCCACCAAGCAACCATATGAAATCTCTAGCTCCAAATACTACCAGTCCTGAAAAGTCCCACGTACCCAGACAGCCCAGGAATGAAACTCTCAGAAGCCAAGCCAGCATCACTCAGAGGCAGGGCAAATCCAGATAATAATTTCATAATTCAGAGACTAATCAAATTTCATAAAGACTCAAACTACTTCTGAAAACCCTGGCTTCTGAAACAGGGTGCAGACCCCACCTATGCTTAACTCTTCATGGTATTGGGAAAGCACCTGCAGCTAGAAGCAAACACTATAAGGAGGGCAGAAGTCCCAAATGGAATAAATTATATCCAGGGGTCTCGTGGGAACCAGCTCGGAGAAGTCCCTGTCAAGCAACAAAATCGTTGAGCTGCCAGACATCCCCTTCCTGGTGCACACCATTTGTCTATCTAAGGGCTCCTGGAGCTGGTGGGACAAACGTGAGGGGACCTCTGTGTTTTTCTACACTTGGGAAAACTGAGTACAAGAGGCACAAGTCCAAAGGCCACAAGGCTGACTGCTAGCTAACAGGCAGTCAGGTTATAACCAGAGCCCTCACATCGGTTCACTTCAAAGAAGTGAATAAACAGTCCCTCCCAAGCTAAATCAGGCACTTACCTGAAGGATTCGGTCTCCTCAATCAGACCCATGCATTTGTCCAAGGCATCACTGATCTCTATGGGCAATTTCTGAAGGTCAGACATCACCTGGTTATGCTCCATATTGAGCATCTCAAGCTCAAAATTTATCCTGTGGTAGGGCATGGCCCCAAGACAAAAGAACTCCATGAGCCAAGGTGGCATTGATCATCTGAATAAAGCTATGTCATAGATTATCCCACCCAATGGATGCCACAGCCTGGCACTTATATGATTGGAATTCCTGGTGCTTATTAAGCTTGCTGTCCTGTTGCTAGTCCAAAAGAGTCCTAACACACACACCACATGCAATCAGGGTGACCAAGAAATGCAAGTAGGTGACATTGGACATTGTCACAGAGTATAAGGAAGAATATCAAAGAGAAGCAGTGATGAGTTCCAGGCCTTCAAGTGACACTGAGATGGATGAAAGCCACCAGGCACCTCCAGTTGCTACAAGGAGCTTTGAGCACAAAATCATACCCTTGTCAATTACAAAGACACCACAGACTCACAGCACCTGGCGTCTCCCAAAAGGCAACACCTATCAAGGGCTCTTGGAATGCATGCTGAGAGCTCAGACACTGCTGTCCCTATCCCCCAACTGTGATTCCAGCCACAGGCTCTGCTTTTCATTTGGAAGAAGCACAACCGCCTGTGTCCCCATCTCACTCCTAACACAGCTCCAATTCTGCATCTCGAATGCACTCAGGAAAATCAAGTTACACACAAGGACAGCCTGGAATTTCAACCTCCTGTTCCTCAAGAAATCTGAAATTGATACTATGGTGTCAGGATGCTCAGCAGAGAACTGGACACGGTGAGTACCTGTTGTTCAAATCCTTGGTGCCATAATTGGCCAGGATTCCACGTAGTTCATTTCTCGCACATGTCATATGATGTAACTGAGTGGTGAGATTCTCCAGCTCTTTCATCTGCTGTTCCTGTTCAGTGAAGGTGGAGAGTTGGGATGATGCCTCTCCGGTAGTCCCTGCGGGTGAAAAAAGACAAATGAACGTGTATTATTCAATGGCCTAGGGCCAGGACTGTCCACTCTGAGTTGCAAGATGGATCCAGAGGAAGACAAAAATGCTAGGAATGGTGATGCTTCCAAACAGCATGGCTGTGATCCTCAAAGTGGGGCCCCTGAGCTCTGTATCTGTCCTCAAACACTGTGAATAATCATGTGCACCACTCCCAATTGCAGCCCCACTGGTCCTTAAAGTCATAAGCTAGCCCAGCTGTGTAGATTTGGAGGACAGTGTTAGCTCACATCTGATGTGATGCAGGTAAGTCCTGTTGTCCCTAGAGCTTAGTAGAACCAAGTCCTGATCACATGTGTGCACGACCAAAGCACCTGAATCCCTGAGGCCTTTGTGCATGGCCACAGTAGTTTCCCGCCCCTCCTACTGGCCTCAGATTCCCATGGAATCAGAAGGAATCCACTGTGAATTCCAAACCAAGAGAGTGTCACCTAATTAGTCAGTCTGTTCCTCCTGCCCCTATTTGTCAGTCAGAATTAAATAAAGGAGCTCCCAGAACAGCAAATCCAGCCTGCACAATCCACAGCTCCTAAACTTAGCCATCAGAAACTTCTGACTCTGGGTCTGCACTTCAGAAACCCAGGGATGCAGAATAATAGGTCCTTACTTCCCAGAAGCTCCTAGCTGCTAAGCTCCACTACCAGAAGGCCAAGCTCTAGTTCACCTCCCTCAGGAAACTCCCCAACCTCTTCTGAGTGTGGCTTCCCCAGAACCACTTATTTCTCCATATTTACACTGAGACTGAAGGCCAGATTCCTTGTGCCTCTTTCTTCTGTCTCCATATTCTCCATTCTCTGTCCAAAGCAGCCTGCTCAATCTTGCCAACACATGTAGGGGAACTGAATAGATAATCCACAAGCATTTGATGTTTCCATAGCACTGATGCCATCACAGAGGGCTCTCCATAACACAATAGAATGTCTAGTCAAAGGACAATTAGAATCACCTCCAGCAACCCTCACTTACCTACTAACCTTGCTCTTCTGCATTTCAGCAAAAACCATGTTGCCCTTCCAAGGACCCTTCCCAGAAACACAAGGAAAGTCCTTAAGTACCACCTCCTCACACAGAGAAGCTTGCTCTGCTTCATTAGAATATGTTCACTACTTCATATATGGGAAGTTGGAAAGTGAATTCCCAACATGTCCCAGGAAATGACTCAACCCTTCTAGGACCTCTAATCAATAGTATGAGAAATAAACATTGCTGGGGAATTTGGTCAGATGATGTGGAGGAAATGTCAGTCCACTGATGCGAACAATCACATTGTGGAGAATCCACAAGTCTGTTACTATATGTGGGTGTGGTAGGAGATTGTGGGTGTCCTGTAAGAATGAAGAAAATGTAACATAGTTAACGATGAAGATTACCCCAAATCATCAGCAGAACACATGCAGCCATCATGATGTTAACAAATGTGTGATCAACTAGTGGCATGTCAGAGTGGAAATGCCAAGGACTGGGGCTCGCTCAGTGAACCCTCAGACTCAGGAGCAAATACTCCCAAGAAGAGGTAGCATTCATTCCTGCAGAGGAAAAATTAATATCTAGGGAGAGGGCAGACAGATATTATAAAAGCATTTTCAGAAAATCAAATGTGTCACAATCATGGGGAGAGTACGTAGTGTGTCACTACTGTGGTGCTACACAAAAGTCAAATTCCTTGATCTGAAGCCACATGTGACAATGCACATGCCCTTAGGAAAGGTGACATATCCAGCCTAAAGAACAATATTCAGCAGATTATGACAAGGTCAGGCAAAGGGCACAAGAGGGGAGATAATTGGGTCTCCTTTGCCATAGAGTGTTCACAGAGCCCCACGACACACTTCTGAATGTACTGACAGTCCTGGCCAGCCTGGATAGCAAATTCTCCAGAAATCTGAGCTGTGGCTTCACAAATGTTCTTGGTGGATCCCAGAACAAAGGAGTGCTATGGAGCAAACTATGTGCTTTCAGATGTTATATCAGAGTCACAAGCCATGCTAGACAAGATTAGGTATCTTAGTAATACCCAATTATAGTAGAAAAGGGACAGAGCCTACTCTACACACTGATTCTTCTCAGTTAAGCCTGATGCACTGAAGTATTCTCAGGAAGTGTCCAACAGATGAGACTTTGCCCAAGGAAGTTCTAAAAGACTGGACTTGAGTCTTCCCCTCCATGGATGTCAGTTCTCCCATGTCTCTATAAGGAGTTGGAGGAATCCGAATTCAGCTGGTTTCCTGTTTCACTGCATGAGTGGACAGACTAGTCAGGCTTATTCACATCTGCAGAGGATGTACCTTGACTTCAGAACCCTCAGCCAATTGCTTGACAAACCTGGAAAAACTGCTACTGTCACAGTCACTCAGGTGGTGTACACATGCCAGAGTCACTTGATCAATGCTTCAGACTCTAATGTTAATTGGGAAACCATTGCAGGGTGAGAACATAGTCACCAGATTCACAAAAGCCATCCTCACTGACAGTCAGGAAGGACACCCATAGCTGTCAGGATGGGAACACTGTCTGCCCAGGCCCACTGGCTCTCACAGCTCTCAGGCTGAACTGGAGATCTGTGTGCCATCAACAGCTAGGAACTTGGAAATCTTAGGGGTCACTGGAAGACACCAGGATGTGGTGGATCCTGCCTTTCTGTTGCCTGTGATGTAAAGTATGAGAACATCAGGCTGGTCCAGGGCACTGTCCTTTCCCATCTGTTAATGGCACATACCATAAAGGACCTTGGTGGGGGGAGTTCAGGGCTGGTACTGAAATCTCACTAATTCTTCTGTTCCTCCTTCCCCACTCAGAGGAAAACCAGAGTGTCCCCAACAAGGCTGCTATAGCCTGGTCAATTCCTGACTCTGCCAAGCTAACCATCATGAATCCTTGATCTGGGTCTGCTCTCTAGGAACCCAAAGAAGCAGTATAGGCCTATTGCCTCCCAGAAGCTCCCAGTTCCTGAGCCCTAGCCTTGGAAGGCTCAAGCCACCCTAGCCAGAGAGATTCCCAGCCCCTTCCCTGAACTCACTGCTTCTTCCCCAGGACCATTTATTTCTCCATGTTTTCCAATGAGACCTAGTGCGTTCTTCCTTCTCCTTCACTCTGGTCTCTCCAGACTGTTCACTTGCTCTCCCAAGTAGTCTTCTCACTCTTGACAACATGTCTCTACGTCAATCTTGTAGGCACTGAAGAAATGTGCTGAGGTCAGTTGGTGTTGCTACAACACTGGTGATATCACAGGATTCCAAGAGCTCTCCAGGATACAATAGAATGTCCAGAGAAGATACTGCCAATGTCATGGTGCACAGCCTCTGCCTCCTTGCTACTTAGTTCTTCCTGAACGGACCAGAAGCTAATGTTTCCTTTCCTGGAGTCTCTCTTGTGACACAGGGGAAGCCATTCAGCACTTTCTCTTCCAAAGTTAGAGATGTCTCTGTGCTTCATTAGATACTTTCACTATTTCATCCATGGGAGTTGAAGGCTCACTTAAACACTGCCAAGAATTGGATCTTCCTGTACTTAATATCCATAACCAATAACATGAGAAATAAAACGTACTACGGATTAGCACAGCATGATGTGAAGGAGGAGTGTAGAGTCATCTGCAGTGAAAGTACCTGTGGGAGTTTATGGTTAAGGGAAAATGACCATTGGGAATGTTTTTTTTTCTTTTATCATTTTTTATTTTAATTTTAAATAGCTTGTTTTACATGTCAATCCCAGTTCCCTCTCCCTCCCCTCCTCCCGCACTCCCCTCCCCCCCAGCCTCCCACCCTATTGCCAATTCCTTCCACATAGGGGATATCTAGAGTCTGTCATTTCACTCCGGGTAGGGTCCAGGTACTCCCCTAAGAGTCCAGGCTGAGAGAGCATCCCTCTTTGTGTTATGGACACACGATGTCTGTTAGTATTCTAGGGATAAACACTGATCCACTGCTCAGGGCCCCATAGGTTGCCCAGGCCTTCTCACTGACACTCACATTTGGGGGATCCAGATCAGTCCCATGCTGGCCTCCCCGCTGTCCATCTGAGGTCCAAGAGCTCTCCCCTGTTCAGATCAGCTGTCTCTGCTGGTTTTGCCAGCCCATTCTTTGCCAATTTGCTCATCACTCCTCTCTCTCTGTCACTGGGTTCCTTGGGTTCAGTTCAGTGCTTAATTGTGTGTTTGCCTCTGCTTCCATAAATCACTGGATGAAGGCTCCCGGATAGTTATAGACATCAAGTTCATTATCAGGAATGGGCATTCGAGGTGGTCTCTCTACTATTACTTAGCTTGCCAATTGGTGTTATCCCTTTAGATCACTAGAGGTCACTCTTGTGCCTGATCTGTCTTCTAACCTATGATTCCCTCTATCCCCTATTCTACCCCCACCCACTCAACTTCCTGTTCCCCCATGACCTACTCTCTCTTCCTCTTCTCCCCCTCTCTTCTTCCCAGCTCCCACTCCCACCCCCCCCCCCGCCCCTCGCCGTGTTCCCCATCCATTCAGAGGATCTTGTCTCAATCCTATTCTTTTGGGTACTATGCATATATGCATATATTTTAGGTTCTTTCCTGTTTCCCAGACTGGCACTATCCTGATCCATGTCTAAAATCCATATATGAGTGAGTACATACCATGTTTGTCTTTTTGTGACTGGGTTACCTCACTCAGGATGGTTTCTTCCAGTGCTATCCATTTACCTGCGAATTTCAAGATTCCATTTTTTTTCTGCTGAGTAATACTCCATTATGTAAATGTACCACATTTTCTCTATCCACTCTTCAGCTGAGGGGCATCTAGGTTGCTTTCAGGTTCTGGCTATTACAAATAATGCTGCTATGAACATAGTGGAGCAGATGCCCTTGTTGTATGAATTTGCCTCATTTGGATATATGCCTAAGAGTGGAATTTCTGGGTCTTGTGGTAGATTAATTCCCATTTTCCTGAGGAATCTCCATACTGATTTCCAAAGAGGC